CTTTTCAATTTCCTGGAGCCCATTGATTTTCTTTACTGTTTCTCTTTTTTTAATGACAATAAAACATCCTTAAAACGTCCATATCTGACTGGGGAGTCTTGCTCTGCTGATGTGCCTCATGACGTCACAACCTGGCCAAGACACGCGGCCTCCTCCCAGCACCCTCCCTCCTGCCCCCACTCTCAAGCTTGGGGTCCAGGCCCCCCACTGCCCCTGGCTCCTGTGGGTGAGGATGGTGGCCCGAGAGGGGGCCGCTTGGGGCCATGTGGGTGCCAGGTGCAGGAGGAGCTTCTGGCCCTGGCTGTGCCAGGAGCAAGACACACATGTTGCGCTGCCAGTCGGCATGTGCTGCTCTGACACGGCTCCACACTTGGCGGCTGGAATAGCAGAAACGAATTCTCTCCAGTCCCGGAGGCTGGAAGTCCCAGGTCATGGGCCTGTGGGGCTGGTTCCTCCTGAGGCCTCGCTCCTGGGGCTCCTGGCCATGTGGCTGGGGCATCTCCCCGAGTCCTCACATGGCCATCCCTCTGTGCCTGTGTCCTTTTCTCCTCTTCTTAGAAGGACACTGGTTAGGCTGGACTAGAGCCCACCTAATGGCCTCACTTTAACTTATTACAGCCTGAAATACCCCATGTCCAGTTACAGTCACATTCTATGGTGCTGGGGATCAGGGCTTCAATGTGAATTTGGGGAATACAGTTCAGCCCAAAACAGGCCAGTTTGGGTGTTAGGAATGAAGACCGGGTGTGTGTGAAGACCTGTGTGTATATGAGGGCATGTGTGTGGGGATGTGTGTGTGAGGATATGTGTGTCTGTGAATGTGTGTGTGTGTATGTGTGTGTGAGGACGTGTGTGTGTGTGTGTGAGAGGACGTGTCTGTGTGCACGTGTGTGTGATGAGTTGTGAGTGTGAGGACGTGTGTGCGAGGGCATGTGTGTGTGTACGGGTGTGTGTGTGAGGACATGTATGTGGACGTGTGTGTGTGAAGACGTGAGTGTGAAACATGTGTGTCTGTGAACGTGTGTGTAAGGAAGTGTGTGTAATGATGTGTGTCTGGACATGTATATGTGAGGAGTTGTGAGTGTGAGGACGTGTGTCTGGATGTGTGTGTGTACGTGTTTGTGTGTGAGAACGTGTATGTGTGTGAGGAAGTGTGTGTGTGTGGACATGTGTCTGAGGACGTGTGTGTGAGGAAGTGTGTGTGAGGACGTGGGTGTACATGTTTGTGTGTGAGGACGTGTGTGTGTACATCTTTGTGTGTGAGGAAGTGTGTATGTGGTGATGTGTGTGTGTACATGTTTGTGTGTGAGGACGTGTAAGAACATGTGTGTACATGTTTGTGTGTGAGGACGTCTGTGTCTGTGAGGATGTGTGAGTGAGGATGTGTGTTTGTGGACGTGTGTGTGTGAGGACGCTTGTGAGGACATGTGTGTCTGTGAACGTGTGTGTGGACGTGTGTGTGAGGCAGTGTGTGAGTGATGACATGTGTGTATATGTGTGTGTGTAATGCTGTGTATGTGGACATGTGTGTGTGAGGAGTTGTGAGTGTGAGGACGTGTGTGTGTGTCTGTGTGTGTGTGCACCAGCAAAGGCTAAGCAGGAGGCACAGAGGTGGCCAAACAAAGCCGGACTCTGGTCAGGGCTCAGTAAGAACTCAGCAGGGAAAAGTTCCCGCATGGACTAAACTCAACCCGGGTTT